ATGCCCTTTGAAATAATGAAACAAAAGTTGAAAATAAGGTTAACTGAGGCACAAAGGTGCATTTTGAAGGTTTGCATTAAAACAAATTGATTGCAGCTACCCTTTAAACTTAATGCTCTCTGATAAAGTTTTTCTCTTTGTACTTTCACTTTAGAACATAAATTTTCTAACATTTAGTGCACTGTCTGGTAATCTATATACCGGTATGTAGTTATACGAATGAAACAATATGCATCCTTTTTTTAGTAGTTAAATTGAGTTGAGTAAGCAATTCTTAGTTTCATTCAGATCTAAGGATTGAACTGTACAATTTCTAGCATTTGATGCTTAATGCTATCTGATTTGTACTTTCACTTTGAATCATAAATTTTCTAGCATTCAGTGTACCGTCTAGTAATCTAGTTACACGATCGAAACAATATGCGCCCTTTTTTTTTTAGTACATGCAGTTAAGTGTAGGTGGGTAAACAATCCTTAGTTTAATTCAGAACTACATGTTAAGACTGAACTGTACAGTTTCTAGCTTTGTATCGCAGTTTAAGATGAATCACCCACTGCTGTTGAAGTTAATCCCTAAGAATTTGCTGTTTTAAAAGAGCGACCAACTTACACTGTGTTATTTTTCACTAAAGCAAACATTATCCCTTGTTGAAAATGGTGACTTCTTGTTTTCTTTGAAAAGCTGTAAAGGCTCGTAACATAATGTTCCCAACATGTTTTTACCAGTATTTAAGATGAATCTAGCCAACAAGCAGTTTGAAACGGTTTCTACAAGTACTGTACATGTACCGTTCTGTACATAACGATGTCTTTGGCCTTAACCACAGGTTGAAGTTGTGACAGGTATACAGATTACAACGAAACATGTACATGATCCTTCACACATTGTGACATTCTTGATGTGGATGCAAGCCATTGACTCACTACAAATGCCCGCAGACTTGACACTTTGTACTGTGAAGGAGTTGTGTTTGTGGAACCCGGCATGTTTGCCTTCGTGCATGATTGGCATTTTCAAAGTGGCAACAAATTTCTGGATGAGTTTATGTTGAAGGAAAGTTCAACATTGACCCAAAGATGTATCATATCTGCCATTCCGGTATGCACATGTCAATTGTACATGCATGTTTATTCGATACAGATGTGGATCTTGATCAGTTAATCCAACACCGGTTTGCTCTATTCATAAGGTGGATTCTGGTGTTAGTAAACCAATGACAGATTATTGGTCAGAATCCAGCTCCGTTTAAAAAACAAACAGGCCTGTATAGCTATGCAGTCCAGCCCATCAATTGAGATGTATGTATGCCATTTTTATTCATGCACATGTCCTTTTATCTTTGAGGAAAGTTTCTGAATTTCAGATACATGTAGGAAGATATTTCCATTGAGGGATTCTCTAAGGAGAGTTGCATGTAAAAGAGAGGTACTGTACATGTACATCAACAAGGTTTATTTGATACAGAAAGGGAATTACAGTGTTGAACTGATACATGTACATGTACATGTAGCGCGGCGCTTATACATGGGGCCTTGTGGGGTACCAGAACAATGGGAAGTACCCCACAAGTATAGCCTTGTAACTTGTAAGGGTGCAAGTACATGCATGTGGTTTGTATCCGTTCAGTGGAAGACTCCATTAGATATACATGTACATGTACATGTATGCATACATATACATGTGTATGTAGTTCAAGCTCATACATGTACATGTACCTCACATATCACCATTTACTGTGTAATCAGATTACAGCAAGTGAATGCTACCGGTACCATACTTTTATGCACAGCTGAAGAAAAAAAAAGAAAAAAATTCAAAACAGCACATGCAATTGCTACATTTCCTGGAAATGTTCCAAATGCAGGGTTAAAAAGGAACGGAAAGCAATTTTTACATGTATTGGCAAGGTGTATCATGTACACTGTACACTGTACATGTACATGTACCAGTACATACCAATACACGGTCTTGTGGATGAGTATGGGTCATGGTGCAGCTAACATGGCACACTTTACTGATACAAAGTGTGCCACACCAACATGTATCCCTATATTCTCGGGAATGTGCAGTACCTGTGCATGTAGCGGTGCATGCAGCTGTCATGAAATGTTCACTTTTTTAGGGCGATAAATTGCATCAATAACAAAGATGCGTCCATCTACGGCTATAGCGCATCTGCGTGTGCTGCTTAATTGTTGCAATCAATCTTATCAGAGTCCAGTGTTTTCATGTGCCCCAGAGCACGCGCACCTCTTGGGATGCTACATGTAGTTGTGCAGATGAACCTTGGATGAGATTTCTATTAGTTGGTTCCACGGTATTCTGGTAATTGTGGAGATTGCCCAAATAAATTGCTTGCCTGGAGTTGCTTACCACCCGGGGTAGCAGAAAATGTGTCGCCTCTTGCCGGGGGCAGATTCAACAGTCCCACACAAAACACTCCCGTTCTGCATTTATGTGTGCAGCTACTTGTGACAACACTCGCCAACCCGCCCACGCTGGCTTCGTCTTGCAAGGACAGTAACTGGAGAGCCTGTTCACGTATTGATCGGGAAATGATAGCTCCGAACACACAAAGAACAAATGGATATAGGAGAGAGACTGAAAGAAAGAAAAAACAAAACAAAAACAAAAAAGATACTGAGCAGCAGGGAAAAAAAAATTGTAAAACGCTTCAGGGGAAACACTCGCGAATGTGTGTCTCAGCTTCCAGAATGATTTTCCTTGGGTTATTAACTTAAAGGGGTAGACTTGCAACATGCTCACACTGCCGCGCAAGTAGCCACATGTGTTTTGATAAATTTGCTTTTTACAAACAGTGGTGCATAAAGCATGATGGATGAAGTGAATTGGTGACTGAATATTGGTAATTTGAGTTGACAGTGTACTTAATACATCTCCATGTACATGTAATGTACTTCGCCGGCTCAGCAGTTGTAATTGATACTCTAAATGTGTGTCATCATGCATATGAATGCACACGTACATACAGTGTATGTGTAAAGCACAACTTGCAATGTCTGTACGATGCTGTACTCATAGGTACTTCATATTTACAGGTCCTTCAGACTGCAGAGATTGCTTGTACATGTACCTTGTTACATGGACATGTATAACAGGAACCTTGCATCGGTGAAAGCAATGAATAAAGTTAGGATTTGGACGTAATATGCCCTTGTAAAATGTTGAGTGTTCTTTCAGCATGTTGACTGCTGTGCAAAGTTTCACAGCGCGTTCCCATTTGCCAAGCGTTGAATGCATGCACGATTAGGGTACATGTACCTTTTAGGTGTTTATTTGAGCATGAGCATTTTATGCCAGCAGCGTATTTATTGTGTTCTACCATGTCTGCCGGAACAGTTACAATAGCCTTTTATTTCCTAATTTCCTATGAGTACACTCTTTGTGGCAGAATCCTGTATATCTGTTATTACGAGTACACTCATAGTCAACAGTTGACGTGTTAAAAACACTCTAACTTGTATTAGTGAGATTCAACTGTACATGTACAGTACATGTATTGGTTCATGTACACATGTACATTGTTACAAGGATGCAGTTTGAGGAGATGGCCGAAATTCACATGTCCTGTACGTACAATTCGTATTAGGAATTGTCGAAAGATTGAGGCTAGACAGTTGTGGTTGACTTTGAAACTTACATGTACATGCAGCGGGTCATAGTTGAAAGTTACATAGAGTGCCGAAGTGAATACGTCATGCGCACAATCAGTGTGTAAAAGGCATAAGTACGAGAACCAGCGCGTGAACCAACACGCGCGCGTACTCCATTCATTTGCACTGCTTTTTCTGGTTCACAGTGACGTCACACTTCGGTACTCTATTCAGTTGGAAAAGTTTACACAGTATACACTTGGAAAGGTTACAATTGTTGGAAAGCATACATAATGTAAGAGAACATGATCTTGGACTGAACATGTAAATGCTCAGGTCATAAGATTTTATTGCTGGCAACCATTCCTCTTCTAAGATACCGTGCACGATATGGGGCCGATGGGTACCCCCCACATGTCCAAGCCCTATACACATTCTGGACTATTGTCACCTAACACATCCCCCCTGAAATCTGTAAAGAATTCCTGAGATTCCGATCAAACAGTGACCAACATAAAGGCGGGAGGGGGGGTCCTATCCGCCCCATATCTTGCATCATATGTCTTCTAAAGCTGATCAATGAGAACACATACATGTATATGCATTATACTTCCTCAATTTGATGGGGAATGTCAATGCCAGTTACATGTACCAGGTACATGTACCAGCAACTAGAGATCGAAAGAGGGTTGTCTCATTCACTGAGTCAGGCGACTGACAGTAGTATGACGGCTTGCCTTGTCTCCATGTCTTGGGGTCATAGGGAGACTCCAAGCAATGTCTGAGCATGCCCTAAACAACCATAAATCTATCAATGCTCCCTAATAATGTTTTGATGAGAAGTGTTTGTCTCTTGCAGTTTTCCTGGCGAGGATGCAGAGTGTTGTTAATTAATGACCTGTCTTGGATCCTTGTAATCAGAGCAGGTGGACATTTTCATCCTGTGTAGACAAGTTGCCAGTGGGAAAATGTGCACATTGTATTGTACACGTACGTGTTCTAGAATATATGTACATGTATGTCTGTGCCGCTTTAGAATCACACATGTTACACATATTGGCCTAATCCATCTTCTGTTCTGCTTGTAGTGGATCTGTCTTTGCCCTTGCATTGTCAAAGAAAGTTTTTTCCACAAAAAAGAAAGAAATATTTGGATTTGTTCACTTTGTAGTTCTACAGTATAGAAGTCTCTTTAGTTTCCATACATGTACCACTGAATATGAATTGATGAGTACAGATTTCCATATTGCTGAGGAGCACAGGTACTTTTCTTGCAGTCATCACTTCAACTCTGCTTCCAAAGGCTCTTTAAGCTGTTAGCATTGTGACTGTTTGTATTCAACCATCTCCATCTTTCTCTTTCTCATTTCTTTCCGTGCCCGCAGGAAAAATGTGGTCTGCCCTATCATTGACGTCATCAGCGACGAAAACTTTGCCTTTCACACCGGTTCCGACTTGACGTATGGCGGCTTTAACTGGAAACTGAACTTCCGCTGGTACCCTGTCCCACAGAGAGAGACAGATAGGCGGCACGGCGACAGAACGGAACCTCTAAGGTTGGTATGAGACATTCAGAAGAAACTTGGCACAAAGTTGGTAACAAACTCACCTCACAAAGTAATACAGTTTGCAAAGGAAAGTATTCCACTCCCAAATTCATACACATGCACGTACACACATCCTTACACAGCTATACTTGTGGGGTATTTCCTTTGTCTTGTGTACAAAACTCCCACACAACACGCAAACAAGTTCAAATCACTCCAATTTAAACCAAGTTCACTTTCCTGGGTTGAAATTTCGACCGTATGTCCCTTATATAAAACACTTCCGTTAGCGACAGATTTTTACCCATCAAAAAATTCCCCTTTTTGAGTCATTTCCAAATATCATTTTCGTGAAATCCTTGGTACCCCACAAGGTGAAAACTGGCCTTGTGGGGTACTTCCCATTGTTCCGGTATCCCACAAGGCACCATGTATAAGCGCTGTACCACTTACCTTACATACTTACTGTGGGCATTCTTTCCTTTTCGTGCAGTTAAGAAAACTGAGTGAAAATACCCTTTTTTCTTGAACTGTACAAGGTTTCCTTGACTATTCCTCTTCTTTGATGACCTCTACCCCGAAATGCCTCTGAACTTTGTTTTCAGAGAAGGGGAAACGTCCTGTGGATGTGTGTAAGTTCACAGAACGTCTTCCTTTCCTTCATCGTGTAGTTGTTCACAAGTCCACACTAGGTATCTAAGGTATCTAAGGTTAGCGCACGTGGATGGACGTGTGTGCTGGTACATCTACATCTAACTGCAGCTTGAGCGATTTCTTCTGGTAAAGCTGATCTACCCCAAGCAAAGCAGTTACAGTACTCACTGAACCGAGGAGTGTATAAATGCGCATGGGTCATGCTATAAGTTTGGGGTCCAGTGTGTGATTTTTTTCTCTCCCTGTTACTCTTGACCTGAGTAATGTGACTAGGGATGTATCGTTGAAATTGACTTTGTATTTATTCAGTCTTGGAAATGAAAGAGTGTGTTCTAAACCTACAAGTCCATATGCCAGATTTAACAGACTGGAGAACATTGGACCCCAAAGTTATAGAATGTCTCACATGTAAGCTTGTTTTTCCAAATTGCAAAGGAAGTGGGCAGGGTGTATATGATCGTACACGTGAGTTGTAATGCCACGAAACATTCCAATGCTTGAGCGTTCCACTCAGGAACACCTGCTGCATGTACACGTATTTCCAAATGGGAACAGTGGCCAATGCCTTAGAATGGCCAGTGTGAGAACAGCCTGTTCCTATCATGGGTATGATGGAAACACAGCCAATTCCCAGAGGGAACTCACAGGTGTTCCCGAAAGGAGCATTTCAGTTTGCCTTTTCAGAGGTTCCGTTCCTCTGTGATAGAATTCACTGCAAACTTGTCAAAACTCTGTTCTGCTGGTGGAACCATATGTGTGTGCATGTACATGTACATCTCTGAATGCTGAGTACAGTGGAATGTACATGACATGCACATACATGCACCGATAGTACAGCTAAATCTGCTGTACAGTGTACATGGAGAATGTGCTGCAAACCTCCTGCATTCCATGCTCAGGACAAATTGGTATTAAACAAAACAAGTGTGGGTTTTCTCCAAAATGTGTTTTTAACTACCAGAATTGCATTCAGGGATGATCAGCTCTTATGCTACATTTTGACATTTCTATAAAAGCTGCATAGCGTTCTTGTCAAACAGTGAAGATAAATTATGTTCCTGCATGCATGTAGAGATGTACGCTGCAGACGTGATTTTGGACAGGTCGTTATTTTCGCCTCGCTCACATTTTCATTTTTACACAAGGTGACGCATTTCAGGTTCTCGCAGTGTCAGTAAACTGCGTTATTGGCTGCCTTCTTTTTCAGAATTGTATCTCTTTCCTGTAATGGAAAAAACGATATTATAAGCAGTGGAGTGAGTAATGCAGGCACAAGCCATTCAAGTCCAGCTTATCAGCTCGGATTGACTCAAATTAATGCAGCCAAGTTTCACAAAAACCTTCAGAGCTCCCTTCACTTTTTTCTCTGCCTTGCACAAACCTCGGCTCCCCGAGGCAGTGCCAGCTGCACCGAAGTTGCCAGTTCAAATTGCGTGTATCCGGGACACCTGACGAAGAGCGGGGTATTCACATGCGATGTCCATGAACGAATCAGCTTCTTTATCAACCTCGCCAATCCTAATCTGATAGCGCGGTGCCCGCTTCTGTTTTTCATGTGGCATTGAAAGGGCACACGCACGTGCAAGAGCCCCTGCAGAGTGCAGGTGGCAAATCACTCTGTCTCCAACTTCATCGTGGCCATATCCCTTGGGTGGGTTTTGATACATGTGTGTGCTGGTGGAGAAGTTGAAAAATAAATCTTTGTGAAAATATGTCTCGCTGCTCTGTGAGATTGACCTATGTGTATTTTCACAGAGGTTGGACTGCTCACCAATACCATCATTATTAATCAGTATAAACCGTAACACCAATCTTGGTTGTTGACCCATAGCGAGCCATGTAGCAGCAGAGATTCTTTTCTCCATTGTCGAGACAAGGAGTGAAAAAAAACCACTTCAGTCCCTCCCTTTTGTGTATTGGAAGCTGGACATTTGTTCATCTCCAGCGGCATCCCTTGCCAAGTAACAATGGCTCGACTGTCTATCGGTACAACTTCTAGGGACATGCTGAAATGGCTCTAAAGACTATTGTGAGCTTACACGAGGGCCCTCATCAGGCAAGTACAAGTGGCTGCAATTTATTGGCCACCGGTTGGTTATCCCCGGTATCCTGTGCAAAATACATGTACATGTACATTCAGATAAAATTCACCAGTGGTCACCCGGTGACAGTCCAAAAGAAATTGACGTTTTACATGCATGCCGACTCCCCATTTTAGTCCAATATAGGACATGTATAAATACATACACATGTACACGAGATGGATCAGGCCAAGAATGGGTTCAAAGAATGCTCTGCATCATGGATGGGCATGTTAGCTTGGCTCTTCGTGCATACATTATTTACATGTACAAGTACGAGTAAACTATCACTTTTTCATTTCATATGACATTGTAACGTGGCGTTTGTGCACAAATGTGTCATACTCGGGTCACTGTGGTATGAGAACATTGGTACATGTACATGTATGCATAGATCAGATATATGTATTTGTGTACAGTACAGTACATGTATGTATATTGATTGTGAACTCTAGCGGTACATGTACATGTACAGTTTACAATATGTAAATTGTTGCAGTGAACTTACATGTATGACAGCTTTTCTGATATTTCCAATTTCCTGGAGCTGCATCAGTTGCATACTGTACTTCTCAGCTTTCATTTGCGGTGTGCTTTATAGAGTAATAAATGGTTTTAAGTTTGTTGTTTTTTTCCCCTCAATTCACGAAATTTGTCGTCCCGAACTTTCACATGTACATTATTCCGTTTTGTTTTGAACCAGCCTTGCCACTTAAGTCTGGTATTGCTTTGATTTACATCAGTCCAATACTGTTATACAGATTTTCATGTCATGATGCTGCATCACAGTGTTCGCGTACTGTACATCACAATGCTCATTGCTGTATTATTTCACCCCGTGGACGAGCCCCTCACGGAATCGACGCTTTTTTCCCCCGAGAAAGCGAGAACTGGTTTGGAATTTCCAGCTCGCTGGGGTTTTCCTTTTGTGGCATGTGATCAAATCCTGATATTGTAACCAACACAAAACTCACAAGTTTCTTTTTTTTAATCGGAGAAATGTCACCTGAGTGCATTGGCCGCCTCTCACCAGAACTGGCACAGGTGCAGGAAGCTGTGCAGTACCTCAGAGAAAATGACCAAGACTGTATTATACACAAGACATCAGTCAGTAGTGCATATGAATACATTTATGTCATTTTGGTATGTTGAAGTAAATAGTCAAGACATTTGAGATATTTATTCCCAAAACATTGTTTGCAAGGAACTTTTCCAGAAGGCTGCGAGAAACATCTGATTGGAATAATACACAAAAAAATTTGTTTATATGGTGAATAAATTGGGCATACCTGTACATGTATAAACATGTGCAAATACAATGTATGATGGAAGTAGAGCAGGGACCTACATCAAAATAGCAAACGCTGCTTGAATATTTTGTCTCTCCTTTTTTATTCGTGTGTCTTGAGCTGTCCTTGTTTTTCGCAAAACCAGCAAGAAGCACCGTCAGCCACTAGCAGGCTTTTAATGTTCAACCACTTCAATATCTCATGTGGCCCCGCTACCGTAAACTACAGTCTGTAACTCATTTCAATTTCAAATGTAATTTTCTAAAGTGGCCAGGCCAGTGCTGGTGTTGTGCAGATAGATGCATTAATCTAATGGTTAGGCCTTTAATCACAAGGGGGAACAGCGCAGGCCTAATTTACAGTTAGGCCAGAGGTTTGCCCGCACGGGGTAATATCAGTCCCAGGCATTTGAAAAGGGGACAGAGAAGTTTGCCGGCAACAATTTATTTTTTTCATCCCTGTTTTAACTCATGTTTGACCTATACTGATTTTGTTATATCAGCATCTCTGTTGCCATATTTTAAAAATACAAAAGGAACTTTGTACATGTATCCTTTAAACCCACTTTCTTTGTCCTGATTTTGTTTCAAAAGCGCCTTGGTTCCTTTTTTACTAGCATCCCTGCATTGCTTTAAAATCTCCTTGTGCATGTACCCATGAATGGTACACGAATGCGTTAATGTATTTCTCTATTAAGACAGCGACCTGAATGTTCAGGAGGTAATCCAGCCTACCGTAAGCAAAGCCGATCAGTTTGGCTGCACTTGTGCAACAATATTGGTGAACATCAAGACGGGACAAAAATAGACAGCTAGGACTTCCAGGATCTAAGAAAACAGGGTGATACCGTACACATCTTAGCCTTACAGCAAATTGCCTTCAAGCATTTGTTCCTGCGAGAGTTGAGCTTCTGCAAATACACACCGAGTACTTGCCCAGCTTCGTTGTGCAAATGGCGGCACTGCGAGAATTAGTCATGTATGGG